ACTAATAGTCACTGCAAGTTGATAAAAAATGAACTCCTAATCTAGCATATTTTTGTGTCGTTTTCTTGTGTATCATGATTTTGTTGTCTAGTGAAGCCTCCGCTGGACTTAAAATGCCCTTTGTATGAGCATCAGCTAACTAATCTTCAAGTTCTTGCCTCAACACGGTCATGTACTATTTTTGCAGTCATATATAGTTACTAGACATGGATAGAGTGTAGTCCCTAATTTTCGTAAATCTTACGAGTAGATCTATGGACATTGTATTCTGAAGGAAGTATTTGGAAAATGAATCCTTGAAAATGCATGCCATAAGAGAAATAAAAATGAGCAAAATACACTGAAAATAAAAAACGGACGACAGGAAATGAGTAGCCTAATCTGCATATGATCTTAGTCTCAATTCATGAAACTTTGGATGTAAAAAGTTATATTGTTTACATTGGAAAGAGTGGGAAAGGCTTGTAGTTTAGTCTTTAGCAGATTGTGAATCTGATGTGTAATATTTTTTATGAATGAATGAATGGTGTGTCTAATGCTCCCTGTATAAAGCATTGAAATTTGATATTATTGAATGTTGAGTTTCGTTGAAAACTTAATTCATAAGTTATAAATGATGTGCAGGGAATTTTGTGTTTGCCTCAGTCATGGCAACCTTGGACTGCAGATTATCTTGGAGTCAGTGGCACATGGTATCTGATGTAAGTGTTAAGTTTGGTGAAGTCATCCTTCATTGTTGAATGAGACTTTTGTTTTTTGAGAGTAGGACCAATGGGCTGTACTTGAAAGGCAATAATTTCCCACATTTTCTGACACTTTTTTCAGGATGATGATTTCACCTTAGCAAAGAGCAAGAGAGATGGGGTGTGGGCATAATGTTCAGTGACCCTAGTAAACTTTCTGGTTGTTATTGTCGTGCTTTTACCAATGAAATCGTCAAAGCTATGCCCAGGATCACTTTTTGATGTTATCACCAAAATCATTGGCTCGTTGCTGTGCCCTTGCTAAATACATTGACCACTGGATGGATCCTGTTGGACTATCATTGTGAGTGGAGTCTTTCACCATTTCATCTTTCTTTTTTTATGGTGTGAAATTGTGCTTGCGTACATAGAAGGAACTGATGCGCTGTTAGTTATGTAATTGTCATTGCTATTTGGTTCTTCAATTATATTGCTATACTTACAAATTCAATCATAGGATTGTATATAATGTGTCAAAATTACCCATCCATGCTTCAGCATTTCCGAGCATTGTCTTTGGAAAGGAGGTTGATGTATAATAGCTAGTCACTTGGAACCACGACCATTCGGACCTTCAAGTATGATGGTTACTTGAAAGGTCGGAAGGTCAATGGTAGAAGCTTTTTAAGTCATGAGCTAACATTATCAAGGTTACTGATAACGAAAGTAGGGTTTGAATTCTTTTACACTTGTCACGTTATTAATGTGTATAACTTACGATTTTTCTGTTCACTAGTCTTTTAGTGTACTGACATTAAATTGCTGCAGCTGGCCTTGTACACAATTCGCACCTGGTCAATGACGGTGTTGGAAAATGTCAAATCCCTTGTTGGAAGATCAGTGCTCCTGAATATCTACAAAAGCTGACATACCTCTGCTGGAACAACAAGGCTGTAAGAACCATCGACACAGTGCGAGCTTAACCTTGGGTCTCATACTTTGTCGAGGTTGACACGTTCTGCCATCAGACATGCCCTTGCAAGAGGCCCATGATATTGGGGAGTCCTTGCAGGAGAAGTCGAGCTAATGCCAGAGATTGAGCGTGCCTTTGTTCTTGATTACGAGTACCGCACAAACCTGAGACGCTCAAGCCACTCATAGTACTCAGAAAACTGCTGTATATCTGTTATCGTCTTGTGTGTGCCTTTTGTTCCCACCCGAAGTTCAATCGTTAATTGTCCATGAAAGTTGAACCAGTAGAAGCAAATTGTAGTGGACAAAAGATATATATAGATGAGATATTTTAGTTAGTGCCAAATATTTGGATCTGAAAATGACGGGAGCTGGAGAATGGAGACTACCTCTCCGTGAATAGTTATTGGGCCTGGCCCTTATGAGAAAAAAGGTAATAGGGCGGATAATTATTGTATTTAATTTGACCACCGAGCCTTAGAAACGGTTCAAGCCGTTTTTGTTTGGTCATTATGGTCGTATGTAAGGTCGTTGTCCAAAAAAAGGAAAAGTTAGATAATTGATCACTTTCAGACTACAATTTGGACTTCCCCTTCTACCATTTCTATCTATTCACTTTTCTTTTTAAAGCTTTAATCTACTCATCACTCTGATCTATCTTATCTATATTATTATTTTTGTCTTCTGATTTTAACTTTAAGAGTAATATGATTATCATGAGAATGTTCAATTTCTATATTCTGACGCAGGAAACTAAAAACAACTTCCTCTGGCTCTGACTTGTGAGAAATGAGAATCTCCGGATATAGGTAAAGCAAACTAAGCTCTATATTTAATACTAATGTAATGAGTTTCTTAAAAAAAATAGAAATAGAGGGTTAGGTGAAGTAACAGATGGGGCTCTTGGGCAGTGCTTAGTCAAAGGACCTACCATTTACGTTAAAACCAAAAATGTGTTGCCGTGTACGTCTCTAATCATTACCCACTCTCCTATCTTCATGTCCACATTCATTCTCATGTATCTGTTGATTTTATTGGCTCAATTCATCCTTTTATACACAATTCAAACAGCCCCACTACGAAATTTCTTAAAAACTAGTCCTGCAACTGTTCCTGAATGAAATTCGTTAATATATATTAATTTACTTAGTATGACAGTGGTAAATTTCTGAGTTAATTATTATTATTATTTTTACCTCATTTATGTGGAATGTACATTGGTGAGATAATGTTATTAAAATAAACTTGTGCTCACAGCCACATGTTTACTCTAATGAATAATAATCCCCACATGATGGACAATAAAAAATATCTGGACCGACACGGTTATCTAAAATTTGAAGCTTCATTTAAAAATTTCTCAAAATTAGAACACTATAATTGGCCGGGATCGTGATAGACGTAAATAAGGATGCCTAATATTCTTCAAAATTAATTCGGTGGAGTCCACTCATTGAAAAAAAAAAAACAACTATATTACAAGTAATGAAAGAAAGAATTTTGGATTTGTTAAAATAAATGAAATAATTGATGGGCCACGAATCCCACTAACCGTGAGACTTCTGTCCGTCTTATCTCCCCACAACCACCGTGTCATGCGTATACGTATCTCTTCCTTAATTCTTCCCCATATCCATGACATGGGATTCTATGCCCTACACCCACACCCACGCTACCTACACTTTAAAAGGGTTATTATCCCTTACCTCGCCTGACGTTTGCGTTTTCATTCCTCTGAATTAGAAAATTCTCTCAAACCTCCTATATATGTATTACAAAAAAAAACCCTTGGATATTTGAATTTGTTTTCAACCCCTTGTCAATAAGACCTTGTTGCTTGCAACTCCAAAGCCAATTAAATATCTTATTTAATCCTAATTTCACTAAAATAAAAAAATATAAAAAAAAATCAATGAATACAATTTACTTCTAATTTTTTACAAAAAAAATAATAAATAAAATTATATTATTTATGTGCTTACCTCTCCCCTTGTGTGGTCGGATGATAAACCTTTTAGTTATTGGAGTTAGTTATATCCAAAAGTCTTGTATTTGAATCGCAAGAGAAACAATTACTGAGTTTACCCAAACAAAAAAATATATATATATCTATATACTTAAGGGGTTCATAAGACTTTTTCCTTAATGGATTTTGTTATCAAATGGTGGAAGTTTGAGAGAATTATTGAAATCTGATGGGAGGTAAGAATGATCTTTTAAACTTGTGGGGTGCCACTTGAAAAACGCAAACCTAAGGAGAAGTTAGGGATGATATTAATAACTTTAAAAAGAATTTTCGTACAAAGTGATGTGATAGTTGTCACACCATTAGTTTGTGAAAAAAAAGAGAAGATTGATGTGAAACTAGTGATGTGCAGCTGCCATATCACTTTATAAATCTAACATTACCCATTTTGAAAATATAATCGACTCTTATAAAAGATGATCTTATATAATTAAAAATAATTACTTGTAGGAGTTCGTGCTGCTCAACTGCAGCATAACATCGCCAAAAAGGATAGAAGCTCTAATAGGTCCTTTCAAAAGCGGGACCCGTCGAAAAGAATCTACGGCCCAGATCATTCTCTCCTTCGATTCCTATTTCCCACTCAGCATTCCTCAAATACCTCCCCTTTAATCTGAAATTGATACCTACTGCTCGCCTCCGATACAATCTTCACCGTCCATTTCCCCCATCTCCCACACATAAACCAACACCTTCGCACAAACTATCAGGTGCTCTCACCTACAGCCAACCATATTCCGCCACGTCACAACAAAATCCTTCCTATCTATTTATTGACTTTATTAATTTCCGCCTTCACGTTAATTCTGTCACTCATTCGCCTAAAGTGAGCCTCCCAATGCTGTTACACCAGGCACAACTGAATCGATTTTCAAATTCCCTAAACGTTGTTGTATTCGCTCCGAGTTTTCATTTCAGTTAAGGTTTCTAGTTTTCTTCGGTTTTTTTTTCGGTGGCCGGAAAATGGTGGAACCTGTGGGATACGAACAGGAGGAGGAGTTGTTGCTGTTGTCCGAGCACGGCAATGTTGATCGGTCCTGGCGGTTGAACTTCGATGGCTTTCAGTTATCGTCTGAACACGCGGAGAAGAAGCCGCCTCGTGGCCTCCATGACTGCCTCGGAGTTTTAGGTGGTTGTTACTTAATATTTTTGATAATTATTGTTATTTACTAAAATCAAATAAGCTTGCAATGGAGATATTCTATATGAATTTTGTTCGTACTGTTCAATATGGATCTTTTATTGTTTTTTACTTTTTTTTTTTTAAATTGCGTATATTTTTATTGTTATTATTATATCTTTAGTTAGTGGCGGATTTATTCGATTCTGAAATTCGATGTTATATCATTTTTTTTTATGTTTTTATTTATTTTTAATGTACAATTTGAGTGATGGGTAAAAAACGAAAAAAATTTGACAAAAGGATATTAAATTTTAGCTTTTAAGAGCTGACCAGAGAACAAAGTAGTTAAAGCTAGGGCTGAAACTTGAGAAGGTATGTAATTTATGCCGTGTTTGCTTTGAATTTGAGGTTTCATGGCGAAATTGTCCTATTTGAATTTTTTGAATCTTAGTCTAACACTTGAGTGGCTTGTTTTTCGGCTTCTGATCTTGTTAAGAGGTAGAGTTTTGTAATTTTGCCACTATCGTGGCTGTGGGTGTAAATTTTATAACTTTAGAGTTAAGTCTATCATTATGGTCCAAGAAATTAGAGGATTTAAGTGGTACCGTTTTTAGCTTTTATTTTTGATGTCTGGAAATTTATAATTTTGGTGTTGATTCTATCATGGTGGTCCAAGAAATTAGAGGATTTAATGTGGTCCTGTTTTTAGCTTTTAGTTTTGTGTACAAATTTATTGGAACTCTTAAATCATTACTAAATGAATTGGACATGTATGCTGAATAAAAGAGGGGTAATGTCTCTTGAGTTGTTATTATTAACCAGTTGCATTGATGATTATTTTTTTTTGGTTCTCAAAACTTTCCAATTCTTGCTTGTACCTTCTAATATTAACATGAGTTATGATGAAGTTGAAACATAACCGGTGAAAAAGGAAAAACAATCTTTGGTTTGATTGGATCCTTTGCGTAAACTATTATTTTTAGTTTTTGCATCTTAAAGTATGCATGGTTCGACAAAATATGAATTAATCCCTTTTCAGTTACTTTTCAAAATATTATTTGTACTATCTCATCTCTATTTATTTATTATTATTATTATTATTATTTTTTATGATTGATTCAGGTCCAGAAGATAACGTGGCTGAGTACTATCAGCAGCAGGTAGAGATGCTAGAGGGATTTAACGAAATGGATGCATTAGCGGAACGTGGTTTTGTTCCTGGAATGTCAAAGGTTAGTAGTGTCATTACACCCTCTTTTCTCCATTAGAAATGGTTGTGTACCTTGATTGTCCTGTACTGAAAATCTGAAAGTGGTTATCATGTTGCAGGAAGAGCGAGAAAACTTGGCTAGAAGCGAGACTTTGGCTATTAGAATATCAAACATTGCTAACATGGTTCTTTTTGCTGCTAAAGTTTATGCATCTGTCAGAAGTGGTTCTTTGGCCATCATTGCATCCACATTAGACTCTCTTCTTGACCTTCTGTCTGGCTTCATCTTATGGTTTACTGCATTCTCCATGCAAACACCAAATCCATATCAGTACCCTATTGGAAAGAAAAGGATGCAGCCATTGGTTAGTCTTTTTGGAATTATATAACGGTGATCATATTCTAAGATTTAAATTCTATATGACTAATTTAGTCACATGCAAGTTGATAAAAAATGAACTCTCTAATTTCTAGCATATTTTAGTCGTTTTCCTTGTGCGTATCATGATTTTGTTGTCTAGTGAAGCCATCCGCTGGACTTAAAATGCCCTTTTGTAGTGATAGCATCAGCTAACTAATCTTCAAGTTCTTGCCTCAACACGGTCATGTTTACTATTTTTGCAGTCATATATATGTTTACTAGACATGGATAGAGTGTAGTGCCCCTAATTTTGCGTAAATCTTACCGAGTATGATCTATGGACATTTTTGTATTCTGAAGGAAGTATTTGGAAAATGACTCCTTGAAAATGCATGCCATAAGAGAAATAAAAATTGAGCAAAATACACTGAAAGTAAAAACCGGACAAGGAAATGAGTAGCCCTTAATCTGCATATGATCTTAGTCTCAATTCATGAACTTTGGAATGTAAAAAGTTATATTGTTTACATTGGAAAGAGTGGGAAAGGCTTGTAGTTTTAGTCTTTAGCAGATTGTGAATCTGAATGTGTAATATTTTTTATGAATGAATGAATGGTGTCTAATTGCTCCCTGTATAAAGCATTGAAATTTTGATATTATTATGAATGTTTGGAGTTTCGTTGAAAGACTTAATTCATAAGTTATAAATGATGTGCAGGGAATTCTTGTGTTTGCCTCAGTCATGGCAACGCTTGGACTGCAGATTATCTTGGAGTCAGTGCGCACTATGGTATCTGATGTAAGTGTTGAAGTTTGGTGAAGTTCCATCCTTCATTGTTGAATGAGACTTTTGTTTATTTTGAGAGTAGGACCAATGGGCTGTACTTGAAAGGCAATAATTTCCCACATTTTCTATGACACTTTTTTCAGGATGATGATTTCAACCTTAGCAAAGAGCAAGAGCGATGGGTTGTGGGCATAATGCTCTCAGTGACCCTAGTAAAACTTCTTCTGGTTGTTTATTGTCGTGCTTTTACCAATGAAATCGTCAAAGCTTATGCCCAGGATCACTTTTTTGATGTTATCACCAACATCATTGGCCTCATTGCTGTGCTCCTTGCTAAATACATTGACCACTGGATGGATCCTGTTGGAGCTATCATTGTGAGTGGAGTTTCTTTCACCATTTCATCCTTCTCTTTGTTTATGGTGTGAAATTGTGCTTGCGTACATAGAAGGAACTGATGCTGTTGTTAGTTATGCTAACTTGTCATTGCTATTTGGTTCTTCAATTATATTGCTTATACTGTACAAATTCAATCATAGGATTGTATATAATGTGTCAAAATGTACCCATCCATGCTTCAGCATTTCCGAGCATTGTCTTCTGGAAAGGAGGTTGATGTAATTAATAGCTAGTCACTTGGAACCACTGACCATTCTGGACCTTTCAAAGTACGATGGTTACTTGAAAGGTCCAGGAAGGTCAATGGTAGAAGCTTTTTAAGTCATGAGCTAACATTATCAAGGTTACTGATAACTGATAAGTATGGGTTTGAATTCTTTTACACTTGTCACGTTATTTATGTGTATACTTCACGATTTTTCTTTGTTCACTAGTCTTTATGTGTACTGACATTTAACTTGCTGCAGCTGGCCTTGTACACAATTCGCACCTGGTCAATGACGGTGTTGGAAAATGTCAACTCCCTTGTTGGAAGATCAGCTGCTCCTGAATATCTACAAAAGCTGACATACCTCTGCTGGAACCACCACAAGGCTGTAAGACACATCGACACAGTGCGAGCTTATACCTTTGGGTCTCACTACTTTGTCGAGGTTGACATCGTTCTGCCATCAGACATGCCCTTGCAAGAGGCCCATGATATTGGGGAGTCCTTGCAGGAGAAGCTCGAGCTACTGCCAGAGATTGAGCGTGCCTTTGTTCATCTTGATTACGAGTACTCGCACAAACCTGAGCACGCTCAAGCCCACTCATAGTACCTCAGAAACTCTGCTGTAATATCTGTTATCGTCTTGTTGGTGCCTTTTGTTCCCACCCTAGAAGTTCAATCGTTAATTGTCCATGAAAGTTGAACCATGTAGAAACAAATTGTAGTGGACAAAGAGAATATATAGATGAGATATTTTGTTAGTTAGTGCCAAATATTTGGATCTGAAAATGATCGGGAGCTGGAGAATGGAGACTACTCCTCTCTCGTGAATAGTTATTGGGCCTGGCCCTTATGAGAAAAAAGGTATATAGGGCGGATAATTATTGTATTTAATTTGACCACCGAGCCTTTAGAAACGGTTCAAGCCGTTTTTTGTTTGGTTTATTATGGTCGTATCTGGTAAGGTCGTTGTCCAAAAAAAGGGAAAGTTAGATAATTGATCACTTTCAGCTACTACAATTTGGACTTCCCCTTCTACCATTTCTATCTCATTCACTTTTCTTTTTTAAAGCTTTAATCTACTCATCACTCTGAAGTCTGATCTATTCTTTTATCTATTTATTTATTTATTTTTGTCTTCTGATTTTAACTTAAAAGAGTAATTTTATCATGAGAATGTTACAATTTTCTATATTCTGACGCAGGAAACTAAAAGCTAACTTCCTCTGGCTCTGACTTGTGAGAAATGAGAATCTCCGGATATAGGTAAAGGCAAACTAAGCTCTATATTTAATACTAATGTAATGAGTTTGTCTAAATAAAAATAGAAATAGTAAGGGTTAGGTGAAGTAACAGATGGTGGCTCTTGGGCATGTGCATTAGTCAAAGGACCTACCATTTACGTTAAAAACAATAATAGTGTTGCCGTGTACGTATCTAATCATTACCCACTCTCCTATCTTCATGTCCACATTCATTCTCATGTATCTGTTGATTTTATTGGCTCAATTCATTCCTTTTATACACAATTCAAACAGCCCCACTACGAAATTTCTTAAAAACTAGTCCTGCAACTGTTCCTTGAAATGGTAAATTTCATGAGTTAAATTATTATTATTAATTTTTTACTTTACGTAATTGACAGTGGTAAATTTCATGAGTTGAATTATTATTATTATTATTTTTACCTCATTTATGTGGAATGTACATTGGTGAGAATAATGTTATTAAAATAAACTTGTGCTCACAGCCACATGTTTACTATAATGAATAATAATCCCCACATGATTCTCTGGTGTGTGATGGACAAATTTAAAAATATCTGGACCGACACTTTTTCTTAATCAAATATTCTAATTGAAATTCTTAAATCTCAACACACGTCAATTCCCAATTCACAATAATTCCAAAACACCCTTTCGACTACAACTCACAGCCACGTTTGACGTTTCTCTTTTTTTATTCCTTTAAAAGCTTTAAGTATGAGAATCAATAAGGCTTGTAAAAATATCAACGTGGTAATTACAGCGTTAACCTTACATAAGTTATAACAACCCTCCCCTTCCCTGCCAATTATAATATCCAACCAATTACCAAAACAAATCAGAGTCCCCTATTTACCTTTTTAACCGCCCACCTTGTCTTAACAAAATCAATCTCAATCTAATTTCATTCGCCGTTTGTTCAATCTATTACTGTCCTGTCCCCAGTCCCCACTCTTTCTCTCTCTTCGCCTCTCTCCTATATCCCCCTGCTATATATTCTTAATTGCGCCGCCAGTGCGCATGGAGATATCCTACGCATCTCCCAGTTTTCAGAACCTTTCATCCTCTGAATCCTCCACCTCCTCCTCCTCCACTACCAACATGCCATCGACTCGGCCCGTTAAGATTATTCCGCTCCAGCATCCGACGGTTACGGCGTCCTCTTCGAGTGCGTCGTTTTTTGGCTCTGTGTTTACGAAATGGATAACGCATTTCAAGCTCATGACGTGGATTCAGTGGATCGAGATGTTATTACCGTGCTGTCGTTGGATTAGGACTTACAAGTGGCGAGAGTACTTCCAGATCGATCTCATGGCTGGTATCACCGTCGGTGTCATGCTTGTGCCGCAGGTCATAATTCTACCCACTCTACTATTGTCCCAACGACGATATCAAATGGTCAAGTGTTGTTAGTTTTAATTTGTTTGATATGCGTGTTTTGCCTTGTTTAAAACGGAGATTTTTTTTCCCTGTTTGGTTCCGAGAAAATGCTGGAGAAGCAAACGAAACTGCAATGAAAATGATGGAAAAGATTTGCAAAAGAATGTGATTATGATTTTCGATATGGTGTGAAGCTGTTTTTGTTATAATTTTTTTCGGAAGAGTCTTCGTAAAGCTTCTTTTCTGCTTGGTTGTTAGAAAAGAACGATAAGAATCTAGAAAAACGAACCTGATTTGATTTTCGATATGTGCGTTTAGTTGTTGTTGTATTTTTCTAAGAGCTTAGGTGATTTTTTTTTTGGCTGCCGAGAAAACGCTGGAAAGGAAAATGAAACTGGTCAGAAAAACGAAGTTGAAGTAAAAGACGTGATAATTTTTTGATATTTTTATAAGATTTTACGGTGGAGCTCTCTTTTCTCATTGGTCCCGGCGTAAATCGCTGGTGTAAGCGAGACTCAAAAACAAAAAAAATAAATTGCCACGTTTTTTTTTTTTTTTTTTTTAACTTCCAGCTTTATTGGGTTTCTGTTTGACTGCTTCTTCACACTTTTTTTCTTTCTTTCTTGAACTGATATTTTTACTTTCTCATTTAACCGGTAATTTTACTTTCTCATGTTTGAATTTTCTTTCATTTTCCATTACTTTCTTGGCCGGCAACCTATGACTTTTTTTACCGTCACTGCATTTAATCAACGTAGTGGTTTTCATCTAAATAAAAATTTTGCTTGTTTTGTTGTTGCAGTTGCATCAACACGTAACTCTAATTTCTGTGAATGATTGGATTAGTTTAGATTTTTTTATCAAATCCTAAGGTAGTATAATCAAATCTTCAAGAGCTTTTAAAGTCTACGAATGATTTCAATGGTGGGCCCAATTAGATGTTGAGATTAAAAATATAAGAGATCAGAACTTGCTTTGTACGATAATTGGGCTTGTGGGCTTGCTCTTCTACTAAATCGGCAACCCATGTTGGGATATTACACTATGGAACTAAATGCACCCCAAGTGTTTATACACTCTTAGCAAGCTTTTGGATATGCATACTTATTATACTAACCGGGTTTATTGTTATGTTTCATGGAATCCCTTGGATTTCTCAATGTCTTAGGATTGGCTTTTACATTAACTTACCATATATTGCAAAGCGTTTTGGCTGTTGTGAGTGGAATTTATTTTGTCTACCCAACTTGATTCAGTAGTTGAGTAAATAGGTTATGTGGTTTTCACTTTTTTGTTTTTTCAAATGACCAGGCGATGTCTTATGCAAAATTAGCTGGGCTTGAAGCGATTTATGGATTATGTAAGTGGACCGCAAGATCTTTACAAATGTTACTTTTTTGGATTGCATTTATGTGGAAGTAATTGTTGAAAGATCACAGTCACAAATTTGATGTAAATTCAATCATTTTGGGGTAAACGTTATGACTGATAATACTTTAATTGGTTATCTTGGAATTTGCTTTAATCCAATTAAACCAGGGACGGAGGTTCGACAAATTTGCCTCATCAAATCTATAAGCAGTGCGAATTCTGTATAATCCTCTGGTGCAATTTTGCTCCTTCTTCCTATAATTTTTTATTTTATTTTTTTAATTTAAAAGATCACGCTACAATTTCCTAAACTGGACCTGTTTTCATACTGACTAATATTTGGTATTGCTGTCAGCAACTGACTACTTATCAAATCTGCCAATGGTGGCTCTTTGCCTTTTGCATTGACATGTTACAGCCATATTACAATCTAATAATTTCTTTGTTAGTTTTACTTTTTATATGGAATTAATATTTTGCTTCTCACCTCTATATATCTTCCTTTGTAACTCTGGATTTGTCACTTTGGTCTTGCAAGGTAGACTCTGGTTTTGTGCCAATATTTGTGTATGCCATATTTGGGTCATCTCGCCAGCTAGCAATTGGTCCAGTAGCTTTGGTTTCTCTCTTGGTCTCTAATGTCTTAGCTGGAATTGCTGATTCATCCGATGAGTTATACACAGAACTTGCAATATTATTGGCTCTCATGGTTGGAGTATGTGAATGCATTATGGGATTGTTGAGGTAATCTCCCTAGTCTTTCCTTAATGCAATTAGTCACAGCATGTGTAAAGCCTTCTCTCTCTCTATGTTGGCGTTTGTGTGTTGTGTTGCGTAACTTGCGTTCGTGTTTATTCTCTTTAGGCACATAAAGTGGGTCTGCATTGGCTGAATATACAAACTAGCGTTTTGCTGTAATTGAAAAACTAGTGTGAAAGCCTCAGATTTTGCCGTGAAATATAGTCTGATAGTCATGTAATGAAACATGTCATGTTGCCAATTATTAGTGTGGTCCTCATATTATCGAAGAATACATTCTAGCTGTGCTAGCGGCTTCTTAAATTACTATATATTGTTATGGATTGGCATAATAGTACCTATCACTTCAGAGCCAACAATATGCTATCTACTTTGTCCTCTCTTTGAAGGGTAAGATAGTGGACTAAGAGAGAAAGGTCGGTGAGATGTGATTTGGGGAATTCCTTGGACCCCAATCATCGTGTTTAACTTTTTTCTTTCTTTCTATCATATATTTATAAGTTTAAAGTTTCCTCTGATTTTGTTGATGCCTTATTGCTTTTAAAATAGATAGTTATTCAGCTAATCTTTTTCTTTCCAGGCTTGGATGGCTTTTACGTTTCATTAGTCATGCTGTGATCTCTGGCTTTACAACTGCTTCGGCCATTGTGATTGCTTTATCTCAAGCAAAGTATTTCTTGGGTTATAGTATTGTACGTAGCAGTAAGATTGTGCCACTGATTAAGAGCATAATTGCTGGAGCAGATAAGGTATCCTTTGTGTGTGCTTAATACATATAGTTTTGCTGCTTTTGTGTGTGTGTGTGTTGCTTTTCAGAATTGTGATTAAATCACCTCTTTGTTGATGTACATTCACCATTATATGGGTCTTGTTAATTTATGAGCTTGATATGTGGTGAAAGCGCTGAATTCAGATTTCAAACAGTATTTTCTATTTTGTGTGTTCTATTGCATATATATATATATATTTTTTTTTTTTTTTTGGGACATGGGAAAATGGAGGAACATGGTTTTGGTCTCTTCCATCTGCGATGTGTGTGATTGAAATTGTTACTTATGGCTTTATTGACAGTAATGCGCTTCAGTACTACATCCACTTCAATGTTTTACCAGAATCTATCTTGATGACTCCTGATATGTTTAATTTGCACGTTGGGTGATATCAGTTATTATGTTTTCATGAAGCAACCCTTTTGTATATAGCAAACTGGTTGTTGCATACTTGGGTATAAGTGTGTTTAGCCTATCTTTTTGATATGCATCAGTCCTGTTATCCATTCTCGGTTTTCAGTTATTGTACATGTGTTCATCTACTTTTTTGCTGTTTCTTGCCTTGTGTCACAACTCATTCACTCCTTTCTTAACCACAGGTGATGTTTTCCTTTTGTAGTTTTCATGGCCCCCTTTTGTAATGGGATCTATCATCCTTGCAATACTTCTGATCATGAAGCACTTGGTATGAACCCCTTTCCTTATTCTTTTTTACTTACATATGGGTGGAAAATAAGATAGTTTTCTTTAACTAAACAATGGTTTCATGTTAGGGAAAAACAAGGAAGTACTTGAGGTTTCTGCGAGCAGCAGGTCCCCTCACAGCAGTCGTCTTGGGGACAACTTTTGTGAAAATATATCATCCATCTTCCATTTCTTTGGTGAGAATCGCATAAATTAAGCCCACTTCAACAGTTGGATGCATTATTTTCTAAAATGTTTGGGTTTTTTATGTACTCTTTAATAACATTTGGTATGTAGCAATTGTTTGCCTGTAATAAATTTAAAAATTCATTTTGTTAAAGCCGAGCAAATGTTTCCATGTAATTTGATCTTGGTTGTAGCTGATGTCACAGATGTAGAGTTGAAGCATTATCAATGTTGGATAAATGTTTTCTTTAAAGCTGCTGTTTCTATTAAAGTTTTTTAATGAATGATAGATTTTTCAAAGTCACTCTTAAACAGAGCTGCTAAAGCCTTTTACATATTGTTTTAGGTAGGAGAGATACCACAAGGCCTCCCAAAGTTTTCAGTTCCTAAAGAATTTGGTTATATAACGTCTTTGATTCCAACTGCACTTCTCATAACTGGGGTAGCTATATTGGTAAGAAAATATGAAGAAAATTCTGCCTATAACATATTACTTTATAGATTTGAGCTTGCAAAACATAATCCAGTCACATTACTGTTTGAACTTCAGGAATCTGTAGGGATTGCAAAAGCACTGGCTGCAAAGAATGGGTATGAATTGGACTCGAACCAAGAGGTATGTTTTAGTAAAGAAAGGGAAGTTCCATTGCTCCATGATTATCATAATATAGCAGCCTCATGAACACCATTTATTTAGTGCTCATATTTTGGTGGCATCTTTTTTCTCTGGTTTTCTTGATCACCTTCCAATCTGAACTGTGTTTCATGCGATAACTTCATTTGGAGGGTTATTCGCTAGATTGAAAATTGATAAAGATTTACTGGCAAAAATTTATTCCTGGATTCTTTCTTCTCTTCATTATTTTCACGTTAACTTTTCATGCATTCAATTTTTACTTTTAATTATATTCTTCCATTGCCAATTTTTATATTGAAAAGTCTCATCTATGAGAAGCTTCTGTTGAGTAAAATAATGTGGGTTTGTGAATTCTATTCTCAAGAATATCAAGGTCATTCTTGGTATAATGATCAGCAACTTTTTTTTTTTTTCTCTCATTTCAATCCTTAGGAGTGCACTATCTATAAAAAAGATGTGGACTTCAGCTTAGACTGTGTATTCCTTGTTGTTGGTTAATGTAATATGAATAAATTTCTTTTTTCTTTTTAGGATAAGTGAATGCTATCTTATCATTGTAATGAGAAAAGACAGGGTTTGTGATTTTTGACACAAACTTTTGAAATCTCAATATCAAAAGAGCATGTCTACTACCATATTGGAAGGAAAGAAATTCCTAACAATCTTCTTTTGTTTTTCTTCCAACAGTTGTTTGGCCTTGGTGTAGCTAATATTATGGGCTCATTCTTTTCAGCATATCCCACAACAGGTGAGACTTTACTGAGTTATTGAGGGCAGCAAACATAGTTATATATTTTAGTTTAAATTCCTCTTGGGTCATTTTAATTTCACATGTCATTTGTGATACAATGATATGCTACTGAATGACAGGTTCTCTTTTGAACATGTCTACTAGGCTCCTTTTCTAGGTCAGCTGTGAATCATGAAAGTGGAGCAAAAACTGGCTTATCAGGAATTATAACAGGAATCATAATGGGCTGTGCTCTTTTATTCTTGACCCGATTGTTTGAATACATACCCCAGGTTGGTTTAAATGGCGATTTTGTTTCTGAATGGGAACATGAAATAAGGGTTTGTTTGATAGCATGTTTTTCTTCTAATTTTGTTCATTCTTCCTATAATTTCCTGGCTAAAGAACATTAATTTGTCAGTTTATCAAGGCCAAGGAAATTGGAAATTTTAGAAACTTTCATGAAATGTCACAGCTATTTATTTCTTCCTTTTTTTTGGTTCTCTACATTTGCTGTTTTAGTATCAGTGCAGTTGTTAAGAGCATATTTATTTGAAATGCTAATTATGAAACTTATGACTTCATTTCCTTACAGTGTGCTCTGGCTGCAATAGTAATCTCTGCTGTAATGGGTCTGGTAAGTATGCTAAATCTGCGTGGTAAAAGTTAATACTATACTAGGTCCACATCTTATGCTTATCATGGTTAGATTGTGTAATTTTCTGTTTAGGATATACATTAGATCAATTTGAGCTAGAACAAATTGATATGGCCAATCAGTTGTGGCTTTTGGGTCCTTCCCCGGCTGTTATTTATGTTATTGAGTTCTTAGTTTGGAATCATTTTTCTTGAATACTACTAATTTTTCTAAAGATAGATTGCCAGTTTTATTGAGTACTAGAAACTTTTGTCTTTGTCATACATTCCTGAAAGTATGTGCGGTTCTGTGATCCTCTGATATTAACCTTTTATTACTTCTATGCTCATCAACTTAGCTGTTATAAGTTGCATTACGGACAACATGTGAAGTTTCAAAAGCCTAAAGGTGGTTACACACCAAGAAAAATAGGATTGAAACTGGATTATGGTATATGTGTAGCGAAAAATAATATTTTGTACTCAAAGTTGACTTTATTCAAATAAAAGAAAAGATTCCTTTTTTTTTACAGCTTTTGAGTATGGTGCTTTCATGTACTTGTTATTTCAGGTGGATTATGAAGAGGCTATTTTTTTATGGGGTGTAGATAAGAGAGATTTTCTTCTATGGACAATTACTAGTGTTACAACTTTGTTCCTTGGTATTGAGATTGGTGTCCTTGTTGGGGTAAGCATTCAAATCACGACAACTTTTCATTAGTTTTATATAATTGTCTATGTGTAATATATATATATTTTTTTTGAAATTTTCAATTGATATATGTTTGATTTCTTGTTGAACTCTTCATGTGTCAATGTTGTCTCATATGTGCTTAATTATTACTTGCAATAATGCTAGTATATTTAGTTTTAAGCTTAAAGTTTGATGGAAATTCTGCAATATGACTCCAGTACTTTAGCTTGTGAAAGTGTAATTATCATAGTCAATATAGCTTAGAAAGGCAAACACTCGATGCTAATAGAAATATGCATGGGCTGATTGCATGAATATCACCATAATGCTGGAAAGAGATTATCCAACTTAATATTGATTTTTGAATCGCAGGTAGGTGCTTCACTTGCCTTTGTCATCCATGAATCAGCAAATCCTCATATTGGTATGTGGAGAATTTTCTCCTTGTTTACGCGTATAATATGCACCATGGTTTAATTGCAAGTTTGCCCACCAGAGCTATTAATCTTATTGCCGTTTCTTGTTTAAACTAATCTTTCTATCTCTTTCTCTCTTAGGGTTTATGATACCCTAATCGGTTTGTTTTCATTATTATCATCTTTTTCAAGTTCTTTCATCAAAATTTTGATGATAACAATGTCTTTGTTATTATCACAACACGGAATCTTCTTAGAGTTTTCCACTTTCAGGATCAACTGCAGGAATCATTTCTTATCTTTATATCCATAAACTTGTATTTTGTTTTATATTGAAACTTTTATCTCCATTAGTAAACCTATGTCTAGATATTCCCTCACTTTTTAGAGGCTTAAAGTTGAACTTATTGTCACCTTTCATCCAACTGATGTCTTGGGGTTTACAAACATCTAAATATGTGTTGTAGGAAAATTTTGGCAAAATGCAAAATTCCAATTAAAAAAAAAATAAATGACAGAAAATAAAAAAACATATTTACATTCTCAAGATTTATTTCTCAAAACAATAAAACACTTCTAATTGACTTCATTTTTTTCTTTTTTGTTAAAGTAGTTATTTTTACAATATGTACTTTTCTTTTTTGAAAATCTCTATTGAATGTCTTTTTACTCTTCATTGTCAGAACATTAATTTCATTAATTTTAAAAGAGAATAACAAGTGCATTTTAAAATCTTGAATATATAAAATTCAAACCCCCATTTCTTTTGTTAAAAACTATTTGCAAAATAATAGGGAACAACAATACCCAGAAGCATATATTACTAACTATACGGTTTGGTGTATACTGCAGCTGTATTGGGACGTCTTCCAGGCACCACTGTGTATAGAAACATTCAACAATACCCGGAAGCATATACTTACCATGGAATTGTGATCGTTCGTGTTGATGCACCTATCTATTTTGCAAATACAAGTTACATAAAAGACAGGTACAGATAAAAAAATCCCTAAGTTGATAAATCCAAAAATCTTTTGCATTTTCTGATATTATCAGTTGAATTGTTTCTTCAATTTAGCAATAAAATATAAGTCACTTCAAATTTTGACCAGGCTACGAGAATATGAACTTGAGGTTGATAAATCTTCAAGACGTGGACCAGAAGTTGAAAGAATCTACTTTGTGATCTTAGAGATGGCACGTAAGAGTTACTTACTCTATCTTCATATTTTGGTCATAAAAAAGTGTATACTTTGTCTATTGTTGTGCTTAAGTACAAACAATGGTAAATTATGCCTTTTAAAAGTATGATAGATTTTTTATTTTTGCATATTTTATTTTTAAAATTTCTATTTTGCTTTTGCTAATATGATGTTTTCACTTGCCAATGTTCTTTTGGTTAGCTAATTTCTGTTGTACATAAGTTGCGAAAAACATGTGAACACAAATACTGTTTGCACTTATTTCCAGCCAATGTTGAATAACTGCTTGATCATTATGTATTTAAGCTAATTATTGGTGACACAGAAGTTTCTTAGCATCCAAGGATTTACAAAGTGTTGATTCATCCAACTTTGTGGTTAGATCTTCAATCTATCCACTGTGTGCAAGTGATTGCTTAGTATGAGTGTTGCAGTACCCATTGATATTTATTTCCAGTGGTTCTTATCAATGATATTAGTATCACTTATCATTTTTTGGTGATTATTTCTTGTTCTAGTCATTCAGTTAAATGAGTTTGAAATTATTTTTATATTATCCCTGTCAAGCTTGGTCAAAGTAAGGTTCCCATGGTGGTCCACTTTCTTACATCCATTTGTTCTTGACTCTGTTGCAGCTGTTACTTACATAGATTCCAGTGCTGCTCAAGCTTTGAAAGAATTGCATCAAGAATATAAAGCACGGGACATTCAGGTTGGGTATCCTTCTATACGTGGAATGACCTCATGTTGATAAAGAGCTATTATTTTCTGGGAAGATAATTATTATATTCATGCTAATCATTGGTGTTGTATCACAGATTGCCATATCCAATCCGAATAGAGAGGTTCTGATGACATTGTCGAAATCTGGTCTTGTGGATCTGATTGGTAAAGAATGGTACTTTGTGAGAGTCCATGATGCAGTCCAAGTTTGCCTTCAGCATGTGCAGAGCTTAAAAGAGACTTCGAAATTGGCAGATCCGTTACCTGATGATAAACGGAGTTTCTTCCAGAGGTTATTGATACGTACAGGCCAGGATTTATCGATTTCTGAACTGGAGTCAGGTAGTGCAAGCTCTTCTGATTCCAAGAACACAGACCCTCAACGGGAGCCATTGTTACATCGCAAATAGAGAAATTGCTTCTCAGTGTTCCTTATTGGATCTAATGATGCCAAATTTTTTGCTTGGCAATCCACGCCTAGCTATTAAAATTTGATTGTTTATTGTAAATAGAATCCATTGTTGTAAAATTGAATGCCATTAGAACTTTGATTTCTTGTATGTAATGTATTGAATGGCTCATGTTATCAGTTCATAAATACTATACCACCATTTTTTAGTACTGTAAAGCCAAGGTTTGTATTGTTTCATCAAGTCTTGGAGGCTGATAATAATAGTACCTTTTCTTTATCAGGGGATAAACCATATTATGCTCTGTTTCTCGTTTCACTGGTTCTTTCATTCAAGCTATAGTATGTTCAATTGTTCATAGGTCCTTGTTAAATAAAGATTAACCAGTCATCAAATAATTTTTTATTTGAAAAAGATTCGGTTCATAGATAATAAAAAAGGAAGGAGATTTTGCTCGGCCTGTTTGTGAACAGGCTTAGTAGTCGCTGTAGTAATTATAAGGTTTATACATCTATTTCATAGAATTTCTATCAGCAGATGTAATCACACGTAACTAACTATATTTTTATAACGCCACCCGAAATTTGAGAATTTTCGAGACCATTCATGAAAGGCAATATTGCGGATTTTTGAAATGATTTAACGTATTATTCTTGAGTCCCACATCGAGAGGAAGTGAAAAGGCCGTGGTAGGGAGCATATATAAATTAGGATGCCCGACAACCTTTCAAAGTGCCTTAAACTAATGAGTAAGGAAAACAAAGCGAGCGGTGAGAGCCGGTCGCCGCGCACGAACTTTATTTGCGCATGAATTTGTGGAGGGGTAATAGGCTGGCTCGAGCGTTGACGCTGCTTACTTTGCAGAACTCGCTTGTGCGGGCCTCCCAAATTGGTTAACCCCAACCCCTAAACGACATAAATGTTTTCTTACACTGTATTCGGCAATTCATTTCATTCTGTTGAAAAGTCAGTTATGGCGTCTACTCTTCCTCTGATTAAAATAATTAATTAAGTAGATAAAATTGATCATCAATTGGTTAGATGATGTGATCATTACCTTGAGATTTGAGAATCATTGACATATTTTTGAAAGATAAATTATACATGTTCCATAGTCTATATCTTTTTTCGACTGAGAGAATGCATGATTCTATCCTGAGATTTGGGATTTGCTTGCACCTACTTACTCGTTTTGTGGACATAAAAATTAGAGATGCCAAACAGAAGATGATAATGGTTTATATTGGAAGTAGAAATTGGAGAAAAGATTCCCCTGAGGGAAATGAATCAAAAAAGAACTGGCTTGAATTTAGTAATTGTGGTAATTGGTAAAGATATTGGATAAGCTGATCGTCATCCACTAAATTGTGGATAATATTTTGCTTTTATCCCATCCCCTTTTTTTATCATTTGAGGTCATAAACTCAACTAGATAAGACCCTTTCCACTGCCCTGTCCAATTGCATACTGTTCCAGTATTCTGTTTTAACTATTTACAAAACTAGTACAACAACAAGAGGACAAATCTGGAGGCTTTGCAGACAGAGGGATGTGCATTAGATATTTTTTTTTTCACGATTATACAATTTTGTTATGCGTTGTGGTCTTGTGTTGTGATGCCTGAAATGGAATCAATAATTGAGCTTTTATGCCACAATTGCAGAAGTACGATCGTACTACGAGGGTCATTTCTAAGAGACTGTAAATTCAATGGGGATGGTGATTACTCTTTGAAAGTTCTTGCAGACTAAGCCAATCACATTTTGCAACTCATCCACCTCTATCTAAAATCATATCTAAATCAGATTCACCAATGAGTTACACGTGATCGCTTGAAAATTTGCATGGATCAAAATGTCACTCGCTTAACCCCCAAAGGTTGGCCGGTAGTGGAGAAGGTTTATTTATTTCATTAATTTTTTGATTTTAAATGAGTTATCTATTATATTTGTAGCTTAGTTAAACTATTAAGTTGTTAGAGTATTCAATACGTTTTAGAGATTAGTTGAAATATGCACAACCTAACTCAAACATTCCTGTTAGTAGAAAAAAAAATGTGGTTCTCTTTACTCCCTTAAAACAGAGTTTTGGGTAAGATGGGGTAAGTCATTTTAATCCAATTCAAAATTTATATATAAAAAATTCAATTAAAAATCCCAACCCATAAGGGTTTATATATGATCCCAGAATTTTTTTCAGAATTTATATAGAAATTCATTGATCATTACACTTTGGCCTTCTGATGGTCGACTTTCAAGCTCCGCCGCTGGATATTGACGTTTCATCTAAAACTTATTCTTTTATGTTAAAGAAGAAATTAATGATTGTAGAAAAAATGTTGATTGCACGATAAAAAATCATTAACTTTTAAGCTTATGAAAGATGTAGAAACCACGCGAAGATCATATGCTTCAATAACGCCAATTTTTACAGAATTGTATTTATCAATGTGGTTAATTCAGACGTCATGTCTAAATGAGCTTTATTATTACTCGATTATCATGTGTATATAATTAGTGGGTACTGAAGAAAATATCAAAAGCAAAAACAATATTTTTTNAATTTTATATATAAAAAATTCAATTAAAAATCCCAACCCATAAGGGTTTATATATGATCCCAGAAATTTTTTCAGAATTTATATAGAAATTCATTGATCATTACACTTTGGCCTTCTGATGGTCGACTTTCAAGCTCCGCCGCTGGATATTGACGTTTCATCTAAAACTTATTCTTTTATGTTAAAGAAGAAATTAATGATTGTAGAAAAAAATGTTGATTGGACGATAAAAATGATTAACTTTTAAGCTTATGAAAGATGTAGAAACCACGCGAAGATCATATGCTTCAATAACGCCAATTTTTACAGAATTGTATTTATCAATGTGGTTAATTCAGACGTCATGTCTAAATGAGCTTTATTATTACTCGATTATCATGTGTATATAATTAGTGGGTACTGAAGAAAATATCAAAAGCAAAAACAATATTTTTTATTTTATTTTATTTTTTTTTGTTAATGCAACGTGCTCTTGATGTTTGATTTTGACACCAATTAAATGTACGTGAAAAATACTGAGTTGACTCAGAAGACACACATGTATGGGAGTATTGAACTGAATAACAGATAAAAAACGGTGTTTAAAGTGGTTCAAATGCTTAAGTAAGCGAATCATACGTCTATTGGTATCGTATTAATATATGAGGTCAAGTCGCTTTCAACGAGCTAACTTATAAGAGATTACAAGAGAGAGAGAGAGAGAGAGAGAGAGTATATGCTATTTCAGGGAGAAATTAGCTAATCTCACAAACGGGAGAAGATCTTTTTATTTATAGTGGGATGAATTGAGATAATGATTACTAAATTAGGGAGTGGGTCAGATTGCCGTGCAAATCTTCCTTGCATCCCGTTGTTCACTTCACCAGCCTGGCGCACACCCACTCCACTAGCAGGAGCATACCGCTTGCGTCAAGGTGCGACGTGATTACATCTGAATGACTACAGGACTTACCTAACTCTGACCGCTTATGCTGATAGAGCTCTGCATCAGCCCTACTTTTCCTGTTCCTAATTATTTTTCTCTCTTTTCCTAAAGGATTATGTTGACAGTGTCGGATGATGAATCTGAATAAAAAAGACAAATCTGTCAAAAACTCTTGCTACAGGACACTGCTTTTCATTGACAAATTCAAGATATATCTCTTCCTTCTAAATTGTTTCAAAGTTCAAAATTTGATGCCTTTGTCTTCCAGGTTTTCATCTATGCAAAAGTGATGGCATCGTTTCATCACCAGTAACAACTGATAACTTATAAATGAGGAAGAACAGAGCTTGTAGGAGGCCCAGAAAATTAAAGTTAATTGATATAGAGTGATCTCTGTAGCTGGTTTACTTGATCGAAAAAGAGAGAGAGATGTGAAGCCATCGGTTGAAAGTAAGGGAAAGCTAAGATTCGCGAAATGGCAGGGAAATCCAAGGGGCCGGCCCTTGTGTGTAAAAGTAAGATAATGACAGTGAGCTGATTGCCCGAATATTACAAGTTCAAGAGATGTATCAGTTTTAATTAATCCCAAAAAAGTGAAAGAAGCTTGGAATAATAGAGTTTTCCACCAATGAGTGATGAACACATCAAGGTGTGGGCAATTTTTGTATTCTTCTAAGCACAGAAAAAAAATATCATAGGATATGAATTACTAATATATAATTAATGAATGCAACCCATCATACTGCATATTGAAGAAATGAAATTGATGGAGGCAAAGCTAAGGAAGATCAAAAGCTACTGTGCGTAGGAGAAGGCCAACTGGATTTGGGAGATCTTTGTCTGTTTGGGGAAGAATTGGACCCGCATATCACGTGGAGTGGTGGGTTGAGGTAAGCCTAATGGCAATCCAAGTAGACAAAGAAATGGTCGTGTATAATCTCCTCTAATCTCCTCTCAACCAATTATCAATTATCTCCCACGTGGGACTCCTGGACCCATCTCACTCCATCACCTTCTCCCTCTGTGCTATGCTTCTCTATAATCACCATGTTGCACCAACTCTTTTCATTTTCTCTCTTCATTATATATATATGTATATATTTTCCTTTTCTCTTCATCGATCTATCACCTACTTGCACGCACGAAGATCACTGCTTTCTTTTTTTCTTTTAAGGTTTATCATGGGGGACTCTTCTGCTTCTTATATACATATGGTAGCTGTTTTGTTCTTTGTTTTCTGGGTTTGGATGATCCTTTATGTTTGATTAATTTCTAACGCAAGTTTTGGGTTTGGTTAATCCTTTTTTAATGTTTGATTTGTGTTGTGGGTTTAGGGTATTATTGATCATGATCATGATTGTGACAACTTTTTTTAGGTGCAGCACCTGATAGAGAAGTGTTTGATATTCCGTATGACAAAAGAAGAATGCATGGAAGCTCTTTCCAAACATGCAGATATCAAACCAGTCATCACTTCTACTGGTTAGCTCTCTCCTTCATCTCAATCTTTTCGTTTCATCAATCAACTGAATATAACTAATAACACAAACAAGGAGGGATTGATCATCAGTTATTTAAGTTAATCATTAAACTTTACAATTGTATATTGAGATTGAAAATTAAGCTCTTAAACATGCTTCAACTTTCTCAATTTATATACTTCATGAATGATCACCAACGACTTGTGAAACTTTGATCAAAGTTATCACAACCGAAGCTCAAGATCGATCAAGCTTGAACTGAAAATTATTCATTATAACTATATAAGCTTGACGTAAGCTTGTTTATTTAAGATCACTCTCAATGATAAAGTCTGTTTCTTTATAAATGGATATTAATAACATCTTAAATCCCCTTCCTCTCTCTTTGAGATTCAAACGTGAACTGAAACTTGAATGTAATATGTGCGCAGTGTGGAATGAACTGGAGAAAGAAAACAAGGAGTTCTTTGAAGCCTACGCTCAATCTCATAGCAAAGAAGATAGAATGTCCGAGGAAGAAACGAGTCAAATGATCCAGAAGATGATCACTGATTCCTCCAAAGCCGCTGATGAAGAGGAGGACGACGACAACTGACAAATAATGCCAAGCTCGAAAACGCGCGATAGCTCCTCTTTCTCCGTGCTGTGCTTCCTATTTCCATGTCCAGCCAAATACCTAGCTTAATAAACTTCAATTTCGTTAGTGGTCCCTTTGTTCACATGATGAAAACCACTATACGGAAGAGCACGGAGGATTCTATATTGTAAATTCCCTAACCAATCAAATAAAAGGGTAAACCTACAACCCAATTTCTTTTACCCATCTGTTGAAGAATGATTAGATATTCAAATTGTGTTAAGATGAATCTTCTGTATTATGTAAATATATAGACAGTAAGTAGCTGTTCTTGATGAATTTAAATGCAGGTAAGTTGGTGACATTCACACTGAGACACCTGGAATCTTCTTGATATTGTCATATGTGTTATTGTTTGCATATAATATAAGATTTGGCATGGCTTTGTCTTTGTTTTTAGGGCAGGGAATGGCATGTGATGATATTGGATTTTTTTGTTATTTGTTATTTGTTAAGATGTGGGGACCGCTGACCATATCATATCCTCGTCACATCATCAATTTCTGTTTAGTAATTGAAGGGTTTTATAGGCCAATTTTTATTATTATTAATTTTTTTTTTCTTACCTCAGTGTTCAAGTCAGGTTATGCAAACCTCAACTAATCATCTAGAACTCTGAAGTAAACGGCCTGATAAATCCCCTCAATAGCCGGTGGCTACTCTTATTAGTTTCTGAGATGACTCCAACTTAGGAATCCATGTTGAACCCTTTTGCTCTTTTACCATCAAATCACCCGGTAGTGATTATATAGTTAATTAATGCTCCAAATTCATCTCCTATTATCAACTTTTCCTTTGTCTCACAAAATAATGCTATGCTCATTAAATAATTTTGTTCATCTTCAGACATCATGAAATTCAATATTATACAACCGCTGCACGTTATTGATTAGAAATATATGTGTTAAGGTTTGGTTATAGCTTAGATTAGAGATTAATTACATCAAAATTTAACATCAAAAACCGCTTGGCTCTGATTAGATGGCAAGACATTAAGATATCCAGAAGTTTTGTATTTGAATCTCACCAAGTAACTTGACCCTATCACATTTATGACTTACTTGACCCATTGGGTTTGTAGTTTGTAGGGTGTTTAATATTTGGTATGTTTATTTTCTTTTCTTGCATTTGAGATTGTCCATGACAACTTAATGGTATTATATTGCGTATATATAAAATCATAACTTTTTTTACCATATATATTTACATAAATATGGTTATTTGATAAGTTTCAATGTGTAAATTGAGGCAACGAATTGACAATAATTATTAGAATAAACTGGGTCGGGCTGTTTCTGGTAGGGGAGCATCACACAATTCTGTTCGAGTTCGACCCAAATTGGGATGTATTGGGCTGGATATATAAGCCTACACTAATTTTGTCGGACTGGACAGTAAAAATTTCTAAAAAAGATGCTCTATTTTTATCCAAAGAGTCTCGTATCTTTTGATTGATATTTTGTACTGCACAAAAAGTTAAATAATAATGTTATACATAAAAAGTTAGACGGTAAATTTGTATTAAAAGTAATATCGTTATTTATATGTTAACATTACATTAATTATAAGATAATGAGATAAGCGAACGACTTTGTATTATTATTCACACGTTTCTTGTAAGCCACATCATTTAGAGTATGAAAGTGCGAAGAAATGAGGGTTAAACAGTGATATTGTTGTATTGGGTGAAGAAATTTGAAAGTCCTTAGAAATCAGAAATACAATTTTAATCTAAAAACAATAATGGTAATAATAAAAATGGGATGAAAGCTAGCAAATTAGCAATAGGTTGGTTAAAATATAACAGTACTCTAGTATATTATTTTCATAAATAATAACTTATCAAATATTTCGGTATTTTTATATATCAAGTTAAAATGTTTAACACACTTGAGAGCTTTCAGTATTATGCATTGTTTTAAAACTAGACCCGTTGTGAGATCCAACAAGGTGATCGGATCACGGGTTGACCAATCCAACTAGTTGGATTGATGATGTCAACAATAAATAATAATTTAAAATTTTTTAAAGTAGTCTCTTAAATTTTAGTATATTACAAAAATACTCCTAAAAATTATTAGACCCTAAAATTTGAATTTATTTTAAAAATGCCTCAAAAAATTATGATTAATCCTTATAATTTTAAAATATTTTAAAAACATCCTCAGAAAATCTAAATTAGTCATTATAAGTTTGAAAAATATCCAAAAACCTCCTAGAACCTGAACCGGACCCTAAAGGCTATCAAGTCTTAGTCCAACTGGCCGATCCGGTTTGAGTTTTAAAACAGAGGTATTATGTAATTGAACATTTGTCTTTTTAAGAATATACATTCTTCTTCATACAAAACAATTAAAAACTGAATACCCTTTTATAATATATATGAATAAAAAATATAAGATAACAATTGTGCTCTTACTTAAATTAGAGAAAATGGGACATCACTATCTAAAGTTAGATGAGTTTTATCATTTGCCAGTAGTCCAAGATAAGTGAGTGATGAATAACCTATACCAAATGATCACTTCACTACAACGATCAGTATGATGGTGCCTAATTCATTAACAATTTAATGGCCACAATAACGAGATTATGTTATCCCTTATACTTGATAACTATGTAATCTTTGTCAATGTCGCTGCATATGAATAGCAACATAGTACAATAATTAATACGAGTAATATTACACCAACAACCATTTCTTACAAACTTTTTTTCATAACTCTGACGTAACAGTTTGTAATTGGTCAATTCATAATTAATTAATAGGACCCATATAAGACCCATGTGAGACTGATCAATTGTAAGCTGTTACGTCAAAGTTATGAAAGAATATTGTTAATGTAGTATTATTGAATAAATAATAATGTGGTGTAAATTAGTTTTAAATCTCCACTTCGTTTGTAATGTGTGTGGAGGATCAGCAATCATATGAATTATATATACTTGAGAGCACGATCGAGGAATTGAAAAAGGAATTAAATCCAAGTACGATTCCGCGAGACAATGTAATGAAAGTGACGAGCCTACGACAATGACAGAATGCCTCGAATAATAGATCTGTTTGCCAATAGGTAAATTAACGCCCGAGACAATGAAAGAATCGTCGTTTGCTCTGGAAGATAGATTATTATGGGCCATACTTGTCATTCAGATTTCCACTTCAAAAGAAATTTGTCTAAAACCACTCATAGGTGGTAGGGTTTGCGTTAGCTGAAGCTGCACCAGCAGTATCATTTTATGTTCTTTGCACGGTTCACACTTCTATACGAGCCAGAAAATTAAGCTATCACTTAAAAGTGGCAGACCTTCAGAGCCTAATACGAGCCAGAAAATGGTAGGGGCCGGATTCAATGTGACCTTTGTGAATAATATAGCAAGATATATAATGACAGTGAGCATATATCGGCGCTGATAATTGTCTGGTTCTTTTCAAATCATTAGAAAATATTCACTGAAAGGAGCTTAGGGCTTTATCAACCAATGAGTGCCGACGCGTTGAGGAATGGCCAATGTTTGTATTTTTCCAATTCCAAGCAAGAAAAAATCGCAGATGTTAACCAAATAACCAACGTGACTTTACATTCTTATGAAAGACCCAAAAAAATCATAAGTGAAACCAAAGTATAAGTATCACATTTCTAAAATTATTAACACACGCATATATACATAAATTAATAACGTGTTATACTGATATTATCTAACACTTGCTAGTTTATTTGCAAATTGGTTTATTAATTTTTTTTATTTTTTTTATTTTTTATGACTAAGGTTTCCGAGCCAGTTTATATATATCTTAACTAATCCTTAGGATTTATTGAATACCGTATAAATTCAATGTTTCAAAATGAGCCACAAATACGATAAACGATCTCAAGTTGATCTAAATCTAAGAAGTCAATAGAAAGAACAAACATTCTTGATTGGTAGGCTAATATCTTAGCATGCTTTATTAATATTTAACAGTGAAGGAAGATATACAGCTACCATAATATTGCAGAAAGTTTGTCTGTTCGGAGAAATTCAAGATGGTGAGGCCCGCATATCACGTGGAGTGTTAGCAGAGGCTCCTGGGAAAATCCCACAGGACAAAAATAAGTTTGTCGTTTAATAATCTCCTCTAATTCCCTTTGAACCAGTTATCATTTATCCACTGGATCGGACCCTATGTTATGTTATGTTATGTTATGTATTTCACCAACTCTAATCATTCTCTTCTTGTTGGGTATACGTGTTCTTCTATTTGCAGTTCAGAAGATCATAGAATTTTTTGGACAATGGGAGACTCATCAGCTGCTGCCTCTTTACGTACATATGGTAACTTAGAACTTCTTGGTACTTATTGATCTTTCAATTTTTGGGTATCTGATAAAGATTATGATTATGATTGTGGCTTCTTAATTTAATTTTTATAGGTGCAATACATGATAGAGAAGTGCTTGCTATTCTGCATGACAAAAGAAGAATGCATGGAAGCTCTTTCGAAATATGGAAACATCGTGCCTGTATCGTCATCGCCTCCACTGGTTAGTAAATACCTTTCTTTCACGCCTCCATCTCCCCATTTAATTAATTTCACGTCTATGCATAAACATGTATTGATAAACACAAATACACGGAGTTGCGTTTTTAATTACTATAAGCTTTACGTCATGCAAAAATTTAAAAAAAAAAAAAAAAGCTTCGATATTAGGGTACTTTCACGAGTGTTAGAACAAAGCTGTCGAAAAATAAGATCTAGTACTTTTTTTCCCCTTTTTGGATTGTTCTTTTAAAGGCAAAGAAAAGGAAAATGAAAAGGAGAGGAAAATGAAAGAGAATGCAAGTACAAACCCTAATGTAGGATCAATTAGGTAAAAAAAGTAAACATACCAATAATTTGAGAGTCGCCGTTGACTATATGGGTGAAGGTCAGACTTTGGAATACCAAGAGTTGACCGACGATCTGAAATAAGGTACGTTGGAGAAGAATACAAGTTCAAGTTGTTTTTGTGATCATTGAAATGAAAACTTCCTTCGATCAGCCCAGGGCGCCTTAATTCAGTGGCGTGATACTAAAGCCAAGGAGAATAAGCCGAGAAAATCACCATGAAATTAAGTTCCCGAAGACTGCTTCGTAGGCTAGCTGAGTATAAAACATTAATACTATGGACACTGATTTTTTGTACCGAAAGATGTGA